CAGAGAGGTGATGATCAGTGACAGCTGTGTGGCTTCATGCTGAGAAAGAGCTCCACAGATGTGATGCTTGCTTTGAGTGTTGATGGAGAAGTTCAGAGAAGGTCAGAAGAAGCTTCACTGAGTCTTTATGGATCAGAGAAAGCAGATGATTGGCTGCTGAGAGAGGAGCTGTGGTGCTGTATGAGGAAGTATGTGAGGCTGGTGCAGGACATGTATGAGGACAGAGAGACGGTGGTGAGGTATACGACAGGAGTGACAGATGGGTCGGAGGTGGGAAAACATCAGGGATCTGCTCTGGTACATTTCCAGGCATTCCAGAGCACCTTTCAACAAAGTGTGTTGAATGCCAAGCAGGCATGACAAATCTGCGACCTTTGACCCTTTTGATCATAAGTTTCTTTTTGACAAATTATGGAATTGGGCTGGTATCTCTGACGGCTCTCAGAAGGTTTTCATCGTACTTACAGAATGATGAAAGGAGAAACTTCTGAAGACAGCCTCTCCTGCATCAGTGCATGATATATATATATATATATATATATTATATTATTATAAATTATATCAACTATTATATTCATGTATCTGCTAAGAACTTCAGATTTTTGACCAATATTTGAAATTTGAACATCATTTAAGAGTTTTTGGAAAATCGAACCTCTTTCATTTGGAATTTTTCACACTTTATTTTCTCCTGCCTTGATTTTTGAAACTCACTGACTCACATCTCTCCACAGCTCGTCTTCAGTTAGTCGAGACTGCAGCGGCAGCTCAACACACATCACCTCTATTCCTGCTTTCCCTGAACGGCTTCCAGCTATATTCAGAACTCACTTCATATTTTTATTAATAAGACACAAAGCCATACATGGTTAGCTATGTAACCAAGACAAAAGAGTCAAAAACTGTTAGCATGAATCCTACTAGCTTAATGCTAACATACAATGGAAATTCCCATAGACAGGCTAAGTCAGTTTGTGCGCTGCTACTAATCTGACCAGTTTTTTGATACAGTTTTTGCCACAGAAACAGGAGCAGGCCCACCTCCTCTTAGTGGAGCTGCTGCACTACAGCACCAGAAATCTGTCCTGAGAACCCACAGCATGCATGACAACATAACAAGTCATCACTGAGAATGACCTGCAACAACAAAAAAATTATATTTGATTATGAGTAAAATAAAAAGCGATTTATTGGAAAGGAGTGCCATTACTGACACTAAAGTCTCAGTGTGACTCTGTGTCTGTGTGTAAATGTTAAATAATCAGTATTAATGGTTCATGTTTCCAGCAGCTCTGCAGGACGGACACACAAAGGTCACCAGTGCACAGATGCATTTTTATGGACTCGCTGGACGAAGCATCACGATTGAGTGCCCCTTTTCTTCTTCTAAGAAGTGGAAGATCTTCTGCAAAGAAAAATGTGAAGAAGGAAATATTTTAATTGAAACGCAGCTCAACAGTAATCAACATGGCAGATACAGCACTGAATATGAATATGAATATAAATATACTTTGTCTGTAAGCATCAGAAGCCTCATCAAGTCTGACTCTGGACGGTACACCTGTGGTCTGGGACGATATCCATCTTCATACCAGTTCATACATTTTGGAATTGTTGTTGCTGAAGGTGAGTTTCAACTTTTCTTTGGAGTTTTGAATAAAATTTTCAGTATTTCTGCCTTTTGTGCAGATTTTTTTTGGTATATGAATTATTTATTGACTTAATGAAATATTATTAAGTCCCACATACTCTCTTTGTTTTTGTTTTTTTAAATCTGGAAACTGCAGAACTGCAAATCTCAATATAGGAAGTATCTGATAAGGCAAACAAAATAAGACAGGAGACAATTTCAGGCACAAAGGAAAACTAACATACAAAATACCACAGGAACATTTAACACACAGCTGAAACACACAGCTACATTTAGACACGGGTACAAAGGGCTACATTCAGAGTGTCCACACGTTCACTGACCCACACACAGCGCAACATCAGCGTTCACTACAGAGCAAAGTCAGAGAGCGGTTCCTGGGATGATGTGGAGTGTGAGAAATGAGGATCTAACACACAGAACACACAAAAGTGAGCTATTAATTTAACTGATCAAAGACCAAACATAAATCCAAAACAAAGTCCAAGAATGAAAATGACGAGACTCTAACTAGAAACAGGGAGAATAGTACAATGCAACAAGGGATGCAAACTTAGGACACTGACAGAGGTGATGGGAAGTGAAAGAACAGCTAAATATGGAAACAGACATGTGACTAAACTAAGCTCAGAGGAAAGACTGAGAAGGAAAACACAGCAAACATCAAGTAAATACACAACATGAAAACATAGAAAATCCAAACTAAGAATCAGAGGATATTTAAAAATAAACTGAACTTAAAAGTCCAACAGCACAAAACTGAGTCAAAGACCCAGAACCGTGCCAGCTGATCCATATCACCAACATATTTATAGGTTAGACTGAACAAAGCTGTCAGCCTGGTTTATGGAGGAGTATTGGTAATAAAGGACCCGAGCTTCAAGTATAGACCACCTGCAAGGGCGAGTGGGGAAACATATTTATTTCATCTATAAATAAATTCCATGTAAGAAAATATAATATTGTTAATAGACTTGTCCTGTCATCTGAAGCACACACAGATAGTATATATTGATCATTTGTCTTTTTAACAGCACTGCTGGATGGAAACAAAGCTCCTTCTCAGAGGAAACTCTTAGCTTAGCTCACTAACTGTTGCATGCTCCTTTCCTCATGTTGGAGTCACAAAGTTATTCTGCAGAGGAGAATGTGAAAAAGACAAGATTCTTATCAGTCAGATGATATCAGAGCTCACAGTGGCAGGTACAGCATGGATTATGAAGAACAGTCTCTTACAAGAGTTCTGTATGTGAGCATCAAACAGCTAATCAGGTCTGATAGTGGACGATACAGATGTGGTTTGAGCAAATCTTCAGCATCTTCATACAGAGAGTTTGACGTGGTTGTTGCAGAAGGTGAGTTTCTGTTAAAATTGTGGAAATGTACAACACAAAGTTCAGTTTTCACAGACAACTGATGATTTCAAAAAAACTGATATTTTGTGTTTCGTAAACCGTCTCCACTAATAATTTGGGCAGGTCCAAGTCACTGAAAAAAGAATAAATAAAATCAAATTAAGCAGCGTGTGTCTCGTCCTTTAAAGGGTGATTAAGAATGAACCTGGTAGATACATTTTAGCTGCTTTCAGGGCTGGTGATGCGTTTTCCTGAACAACAAAGTAAATATCAGGATGTATCCTTCTAATAATCATTACTTCTATGGTTTAGACAGCGTCTCTTTTAAAACCAAAAATCCCCCTGTACCAAATCCTGACCTGGAGAAATGAAAATATTCACTGTTTCAAATCTAAGTGTCATAAGTTGAATGTTTGATGAAATCCACCAAGCTTCAGGTTCATATCTCTCACACTTTTTTAATATGTGGTCAAAAATGTGAGGACTACATATTTTTTTAATTTAATCCAAAACAGCCAGAAGAATTAAAAGGTTTTATTTTATACAATCAGAAGCACTGACAACTGTTAACCACCTGCTCTAACTATTCACTCAAATGACAATTATGAAAACTTTCTTTCTTGCTTTGTTAATAAGACCCATGATATAAATACTCCTCCTTAGAGAGCGTTGCACCAAACTCTTAAA